TATTAGTTTAACCTTATTACTGCCACATAAAAAATGTATATTAATTAATTTATTGAAATTAAAATTAGTAAGTCAATAATTATGCTGCTACTTGAATATTTACTTGTTTACTTAATTTTTTCAAAATTTTAAATTAAACTCAATTTGTAATATATCCATAATTACAATTGTTTGTTTTTTTAAACATATATTTGTGATGCCTAAAAACCTTTGGCATACATGATAAGGTTCAGTGAAAGTCTGAAATTTTATATGTAAATGCTCTGTATTTGTTTCTATTAGTTCCGACTGAAAATGTAGCTACCATTAAGAACAGTGCCCTAGTCATTGAAGGAGTCTCCAGAACCCGCAATGCACTCATCAATGGCAACATTCGAAGTTACGACTGGGATTCTGGTTACACCTGCCATCAGCTTGGTAGTGGCGCCATCTGCATTCAATTAGCTCAGCCCTACATCTTATCAAACATGCGGTAAATAAATGAATTTGACTTTTACCATTGCAAATCATCTCATTAACCCAATTACTACTATGCTCTGCAGTATTGCTCAAAATACTAAGATAAGGGGATAACTCCAAATTATGAAAAGGGTATATTTTTTACATTAAACATCTATTAATAATAAAAAGAAAATACTATAAAAATAAAGAGAAATGGATGACCTTTATAGCAATCTATAATTATTATAATTAAGTGGGAAGCGTGGTCGAGAGGCTAAGTGCACTTGAACTTAGCTTGGCTATCTATGAAGGGGGCTTGAGGTTCGACACCCGACTTGGGCAGAGTTGTGTTTACTGAGCGCCTAAAGGCAGCACGGGAAAAACCTTCTCCATAATGCCCCCTTCCCACTGGTCCACAACTGAGATTGGACTAAAAATCCAAGCCAGCTCAAAAACACCATGTAACCCGGAGAAAGACTAAGAAATGTGCAAGTTCTTTGGGGAACACTACAAATCGTTCACTGACATTACGTTCACCAACAAATTGTTTGTTCACCCGACAATTCTGGTATAAAAAATAAAAAGTTCAACTCAGAAATGAGAGCTTTGTGAATTAAATGAAAGAACTTGCATGTATATCAATCAATTTCTTTGATAGTTCTAGATACATCCTTGACACTGATCTAATACTAAGATAAAATATCTAAAAGGATCTATTTAGTAGTTTTGATGGATGCCATTATAAATTGGCTGTTTATTAGGAAAAAAAAAATGAAGTTATGACATTCCTTCAGGTGTCATGAAAATGCTGCCTAAATGCTATTGTTTGTTTATGTTTGTAAAGTCTACTAATAAAAATTTTAAAAAAGAAAAGGAATCCTTTCACTATTTAAAAGAACTAGAAAATAAGATTTTAAGGACTGGGAGTCCATGATTCAATTATGTACTAATTTTCTGTTAGTGGTGTTTTTTTGTTTTGTTTTTTTTGTTTAATTTTATTTTGTGTGAGTGAAAATTTCAAATCATCCAACACTTTTATGTAATAATTATTAACCTGAAATTGTAAAAATAAAATAGTTTCAAAAGTTGTTTTTAAAATCACACCAACATCATATCATTAATACCATGGTTTTCTATGAAAAACTGAAATCTGTAGGGCTTGTTAACCTAGCTAAGTTTAAATATTTTGCTATACAGGCTCTCAATACTAATAGATCTCTGTTAACTAATTGTTGTTGAATCCTATGATTTCAATGAAAACTATTTTTCTGTCTAGCTTACTGCTGTGGGACTGTGATGACAGAAGCTATAGTTTTTACATTGAGGTTTCAATAGATCAGCTCAAGTGGACACAAGTTGTAGATAAAAGACATGAAGCCTGCAAGTAAGTTGAGTTAGCTTCTAGTTCAAATTTAACATAGTTTTTTAAAATAATGAATAAGCTAAAGGAGATTCTACCATTTCATTTTGTATTTGCTTTGATTCTTTATTGTATGTTTTAAGTACTTAGTGTCTGCACTAGGCTCAAAACCTGTTAATTGTATTTCATATCAAACTAGATAGTTCTGAACTTAGACTTATAGTCTTCTCCTATTAGCAATGCACCACATTTAGTTTCTATTTGTCTACACTTAGAAACAAGTGTAGACCAAACATTAACTCGGAAAACTGTTTAGAATGATTCTTCTTCTTCCGGGTTCTCATTATCATGTTGGCAGATTCAGATAACTAGTCTTATATCATTATCTGAGATGAACTGATCAATGTTTTCCAGATTAGGCAGCGCTGTTTACAGATTATCTTCTATAGAGGTGGGGCCAGTGTTTTATTCGGGCCTCTTGATAAAGTATGCAGCTTTGGAGCTAGTGACACTCCACAAGGTCATGTTTCGCTAGTTGTAACTTTTAGCTTCCAAAACTTTTGTTGTCTCATTCTGTTCCGAGGTGAACAAATTATCTTGATCACTTCAGATAACTTATTATAAGCATAATTTTTTTCTGAACTTTAGGAGAGAACTGATACATTTTCAGTTTTTTAAACTATTCTCTAGTATTGTCATCTCTTCAGGATAGAAGGACATTTTTGACTGCTTACTCATTCTCCAATATTTGACCAGTAGGTCTGGAATGATTATAAAGTAATATACTGTATTTGACAGATCTTGGCAAGCTGTAACCTTTGAGCCTCTACCAGTCACCTTCATTCGTATAGTAGGAACTCACAACACTGCTAATGAGGTAAGCAATTAAGTCACTTTTGAAATATCGTTTTAAAAGAAATTGATTTTAGTTTTAAAAATAGTTCAAAGAAAAGGAATAATTTTTTTTTATTGCTCAATGTTTAGTCTTAAAAACTATTTTTTCTAATGTTATTAATCAATTTATTTTTGTGACTTCAATCTTTTAGGTATTCCACTGTGTTCATTTTGAAAGCCCTACTGACAGTGCTGTTGGAAATTTGATTAACAATGCAGCTGCAGTTAGTGGCCCGCCAAACAGCCCCAGGCTGCAGCTAGGCCCATCATATCCCATTTCAGAGATGGACAGGGGCCCTTCTGTGAGTGGAAGCAGCAGCAGCACCAGTAGCCTCAGCGAGAGCCATCTCAATGCTCCGGCCAGCCCTAACTACTACCCAATGCACCCACAGCAGCAGCCAGCCCACTTTCACCAGCCCTCTGCGCCTCAAGGCCTAGCTGACCTGCAGAATATGAACTATGCAGGCCACATGTTGCAACAGCAGGATGCGCCAGAAGCTGACAGAATGGATGGCTAAACAGAAGTTTATAGTGTCACAAAATCAGAAACCTATAGTATTATTGAAAAGTAAATCTATTTATAAACCTTAATTAAAAAAATATATTGAAAAGTTTGACCAAAAAATTTATATTTTCTTATATAAAAAGCAAATGAAGTGATAATCAATAATTTTTCTGGTTGTTTCTATTTATAGACAGTCATTTATTAACTGCTGTAGCATTTTCTTTAGTCTTATGTCAGTATAGTGACTTGGTTTTTCAGAGATATTTGGTGTTAGATTTTTTTAAATTAATATTACATCTGCTATGCTATTTATAGGCTAAAATTTAACATGTTTTTCTTTGGTGAAATATTTAAAAAAAATAGAGCTTTAAAACCATTTAATAGATTCCTTATATATTGAATAGTGGAATACTGATTGTTGTTTGTTTACTAACCAAGCTGACCATGTCATTACCAATATTGAATAAGGAACATGTTGTTTTTGTTTAAAATGAATGAGCTGTCTCTCCACAAGACAGTATTTTTTTTTCATGTGGAAATGAAGATGGTTGCCTTTATCCAAACTATGAGCGATATTGTTATTTTAATATGTATATAAATACATGTACATGGATATGATAGCTGCAAAGTTGTCAGTATGTAATTACTAATGGTCAAGGATAAAGTATGATCTTTGTACCAGGATAGGTGTATGTTGTTTTTCTTCACTTGGGCAATGTTGCCAACTTATTAAGAGGTGGGCAGGCTTGTTGCCAACTGTGAAATGGTATATGTACAGTTATTGTTGACAACTTCTTTCAATTTAATGGATCATGCTCCACTAATTATTAGCTATATATTTATATATCAGCACATTAATGTTTTGGCTGTGAGTGCAAAACAGTTTTATTGATATTTGTTTCTCCATTAGTTAGTACTTCATTGAAATTTATTAATTTCTTTTTAAAACAGTGTCAATGGAATATTGAAATTCTAATTCAAGGTCTACTTAATTAAATATGATTTTTAAAAAAAAAAATTTTTATGAGCAGACTAAATATCTTTGGTAATTTGACAGTTCTATGTTTCACGTTCTTATCACAATCTATAGTTTGAATATCTTTGGTAATTTGACAGTTCTGTTTCACATTCTTATCACAATCTATAATTCTTGAATTAGAAACTAACACATCTGGTTGACTGGCTTTCTATACAATGAAAAAAAAGTACCAGGGATGCTTGAAATAGATTTTAATTGCCATTTCTTTTAATGCCACATCATGGCTGTGCTATTAGTTTGTTAATGAACTTAGAGATCATAAGGTTTTTTGTTTGGTTTTTAAAAAACCCCACAAATGTTTTAAATAGTTTTTCCTATTGCTTATTCTATCAATATTCTTATTATATTATAATTTGTGTGTAAATACATAGCTATGGAGGTCAATAGTGCAAGTTTTCTTAGTTTGCATTTTGATTAGTCTGAAACTCAAAATGCTCAGATTTTTGTCACTATGATTCCTAGTTAAATACATTCATATATGATATGCATTTGTGTGTATAGATTTGAACTGTTAGTTCAGATAATAAGTCAAGGAGATAGGTTCTTTATAAAAATATATAGATAAAAAAGTCAAAAATTTGAAACTCTTAAGGCTTCACTGAGGAAAGAATGCAATGTTATGTCAGCTCTTCATTCACTCAAAGGTTTATTGAGCACCCATATTTTCATACATGGGGCTTCAAGTCAAAAGTAGGCTAGACATGAATCAGACTGAATGAACTCAAAGGAATTATTGAGCTGCCATATTTTCCTACATTTGCTAGACATGAATCAGACTGAATGAAGAGTTTGTGTACATAATGTTGTGATGCAGAACTTTTTGTACAAAACTTTCTGTTGTACAAACTTCCATTTTTTTTTTGTTAACCTTATTTAACTCACCAAAATATTGTGATATAAATAAACTCATTGTTGCTATTTTTATTTGTTCAACAGTATTGTCAGAATACTGTTTGGCAAAAATGATTGTATTATTATTTATTTATTTGAACCTGTATAGTGCTTGGTGGGGGGGGGGGGGTCACTCTGTAAGGTCAGAAGTCATGCAATGTCTACATCCCTACAAAGTGTGATCTTAAACAGTGTCAGATCTTACTGTTGACAATAAATTTGAGATTCAAAAACAAACTCAAAAGTTGTAACTAGAACAACCCTAGGAGGAAATGAAAAGCTTTATTTTGTTTATGATCTCCAATGTGTTTTGCCTTCCTTCTGTTTGATTAGATTCATCAGCATTGAATAATGCACATAAAGGTTGTATAAGAACCTCTTGGGTTTTCTTGAATATTTCAAATTATTTGTTTCACATTTTCAGACCCTCTTTTCAAAAATAATGTAATGTATGCTCAGCATTTTTCTCTTTTTAATTTATAAAGTGAAATTATCTCCACTTTAGACTAATTACCCCCCTTGGAAGTAGTTAATTAAAACAAAATGTGGAAACACTTTGATGCGTTTGTGTATTGACTGGTCATTGAGTGGGGGCAATCAGCTGTGTTCATTTACATTGTATATTTTCTATATAATAAACTTTAATAAAATGAAATATACACATGAAATATAAACAATTCCAATTTGCTTTTTAAAACATTTAGGCAGATCGTCATTATAGAATTTATTTCCAAGTGTCATTATAAAACAAAACAGGTCAATAAATAAATATGATGGACAACAGTATCTATGGCCAAATGCTTTTAACCTTCAGTTCCGTTCTCTGGAGAGACGTTATCATCTAAATTGGAGAGCTCCCTGAGAAAGTCTCTTGTGAGTCTGGCAACGTGGTCGTCATGGATTGGCTCACTTGAATAACTGTCTTTCATTCGCACAAGCTCCTGGAAGATTTAGTTGTACTGTATTTATATAGGCCATGCTTCATAGGGAGGCTTGAATACCGTTAGGTTACAATAACATTTGTTTTAGTATTATTACAATCCACATAGTATATTATAAGCTGGTCATTCTCCCCCCCCCCCCTTTTTTTTGTTTGTTAGATGGACAGTCCTTGTTTTTGTTGGGACTTTTACTAATATATCATAAACTCCCACCCCCATATCTTGGGTTTGGCTGTAAAAGAAAGTCTGGTAGAGACAAACTGCTTATTTGCTCATTTATAGGCACAATACGATGGTTGATGTTACAATGAGATTGTGTTAATCATACAATGCGTTTCTGATATTCTAATTTTGAATCGTGTTGTCTATTAGACAATTTCAGAGTTCTCAATATCCTGATGCCGGAGATACTACTTCAAAGTATAAACTCAATACTGAAATCTTCTTTAAATAAATACAAAGCTTTTATTCTGGAACTAGAAATCACTTTAATAACATACACACTACATAAATATACTATTCAATTTAATTTAAATTCTTTACTCTAGTCGCAGATCTCTCTCAAAACTAAATATACAAAAGTCTTTAAATACTACCTCTTGCCCCTTCTACCATCATCCAAACTATTTTTAAAGTTTTCGGGAAAAGCCGTCATCTTTTAAAAAAAACATGCCATTACTTGTCAACAACATACAGCCATGATCTTGCGCTGCAAATATTCAATCTAAAAATAAACTTTATGCAATAACTGCTTTATGTTACGTAACAGTAACTAATGGGCTACTCTCTGTTCTCTCTCCCTGATAGTTCACTTAAGTAAAAAAAAACTTCTTTAAAAAAATATTAGATTACAAAATAAACACACGTCAAAGTAAGAAGTCCATAAAAACCTAGAAAAACTCTAAAATAGGTAAAGTTTTAAAAAGTATCATTTTCATAACAACATGATATAATTGAAGTCCAAAAAAACTGATAGGCTACTGTACCTGTTAATGAAGTAATTCCAGTATTTGAACAGGCTAAATATTCGATGTAAACAATTATTTTCAACTTAAACAGTGTTTAATTAACTTTTTTTTTTCTCAAAATAAAATAAAAAAAAAAAAACAACAGTAAAAATTGAGACCAGAACGTTCTTAATTCCTTGGTAAAGATTTAGAGCTGCACCAGGACAGTCATCTGTATAACTAGGTGCTCTATCATTTGACCAAAGAGACCCGACATTAAAAAAAAAATTGTTTCATGGTCAGCAATGACCTTGGTCAATAACTGATGGACTAACAAGTAGATTGAATGCTGTTACCTTCAGGTGTTTGTTTTCTTCTGTTAGGTCAGACAACTGTTGTCTGAGTGTTTTGTTTTCACTTGCCAAGTATCCCGGCGAGTTAGTTTCTATTTTACTACTGGCTGGAAATTTGGTCATATAGTCTGTGGTGAAAAAAACTAACAACTTATGTAACTTATGAAGGATCACATAAGAAAACACATCTTATCAGTCTAAAGTTACAAAATTAAACATTTCATTATCCAACATACAATAACAATTCAATGATACCACCATCATGTGTACATATTTTGTAGGCCTACGAAGTATAGGTTGTCTTTAGAATACTTACCCGACAATTTGTTGGTTGTTTCTTCGTAAAGTCTCTTGAAGTCTGCCTTTTCCCATTCCAGCGTCTCCGTAAGTTCTTGGGCTTCGACCAGTTGGTTCTCTAGTTGAACTATTCGCATACTTAATGCATCAACAGTTTCATTTAGCGAAGACTGCGCAGGGAATAGTTGGAAAAAAAAAAAAACTTTTAACTTTGTCAAATTTCTAAACCTTAAAACAAAGCACCAGGAGCAACATTGTTTGAAACATAAATTGGGCTGATAGGGAGTCAGTTACACAGATCGGGTCTCAAACAAGGAAATCCTATGCCGAACACTTAGTGATGTTGTGACAGAGCGTCGCATGAGGTTTGCGGGAAATGTTCTACGACAAAATGAATTACGCACACAAAGAGTTGCGATAACATGGAAGCCAATACGAGGAAATCGCAAACAGGGACGTCCTCGTATTACTTGGCGACACACCTTCATGGAGGACGTCAGAACAGTGGACACCAGGTGGGAGGAGGCTTCAGATATCCCAATGACAGATCTTTATGGAGACAGCTTTCCGCCCAATGCGCTGAACGGCGCGGGAGGACCTAAGTCTAAGTAAGTCTAAGTAAATAAAAGTTTTTTTTCTTGGACACAGTGTATAGCAGGGTGTCATGAAAGATCTGGAAAGAGTTTGGCCTCTGAGGATCCGATAAACTTCCTGGGATTTTTTTTGTTTTAAAAGTTTGAAGTCTGGACTGATTGGAAAATGGTAAAATTAAATTCTATTGGTCCTTGCATTATCCACACACGTTTAATTTCAGGGTCAGCGACCAGCCAATAGAATTCGGACGTCCTAAAACATCTTGAAAGGTAGTCGGTCCTAAAACATATTGAAAGGTTATCGTATCTATAACATCTTGAAAAGTAATCTGCTATTGTGCTGTTACTATTAATTCTATTGTTAGTCCTAACTCACAAAGGCAACACAATACTGAAATGAAGTCTAGTTTGAAAAATGATCTAGTCTAGTTACTTATTACCTCTGATTAAAGGGATACGTCCAAGCTGTTCTAGTTTTATCTTTATAAAACATATTTTCATGACTCCTGTACTGAACGTTGACCTACTTACCATATCATTCTTGAGGTGGAGCTTATAGTCTTCTAGTTCCCCCATCCTCATTTCAACACTCATCTCCCGCTTACTTAGCCGCCATTTTTCTCTCTTCAAGACACCCACGATGTTTCTGGCCGAGTCGACGCCTTCGTGAAACTTTTGTATGATCTGATCTCTCTCGTCATCCACCACATCGCCAACATGCTGGGGGAACGACAAGAAGAACTATGTAGCCGGCAGTGTTTTATATCGCGCTAAACGATGTGGTCGAGAAGTAGCATACTACGTTAAAACTTGCAGTCTCTGGTTGAAAGATGGACTCGACTAATAAGACAAACAATTAAAATCTGAATGATGTTGCATTAATGCTTTCAGACAAAAGGCGCGTAATGAGCTCGTCCTAATAATGATTGTTACGCAGCAATTAAAACACTTAACACTTCTACTTGCCCTTCCACACACACACACCTCTAATTTATATAAATATGCACAAACACACCTCTAATTTATATAAATAGGCACAAACACACCTCTAATTTATATAAATAGGCACAAACACACCTCTAATTTATATAAATAGGCAGTAACAAACATTCGACACAGTGGCTTCTGAAATATTTTCATAGTGTGCTACAAATACTACTACAAACTTCATATCGCGGCTTCAATTGAGTACAAACGTGTTCAATGATACTAGAGTATTGGCTATATGGATTTCTCGTCCTAGACAGGAACACGATGTGTAGAAGAAATCACTGAGTCTCAAAAGGTTGATAACCTCTACCCTTGTAGGTCAAGACTAGTAGGCCTATTCATACAAATTATGTTATGCTTTCCACATATAATATCTTTTAGTTGCCACAGGTAAACCGTGAGTATATCATTTAATAAAGGATATTAACTTTTAAGCGATCACCATCTTAACATTCCTATGTAAAGTTCAGTAGACATACTTTGAAAGCTGATAAGATCACGTCTTTGGTGAAAAGATTAGACGAAAGAAGTAGCAAAACAAAATCATAGTATACAACACTCAGTTATCTCTTTCAAGCTTGATTTGCTTCCCCTTGAACATTAAAAGGAAGAGATTTCCTCCTCAGATATTAAGATCTTTGCTGTTTACAAATCGTCCTAGTTAAAGCCTTGTACCACAGCCATCTTTTTCTTCCTTAAGCAGGCTATTTATAGACTCAACATATTTGTGCGTTATGCAATCAAAGGTAAAGAAAGATGCTATCTTGATCAGTGCATATCCTGTTAAAGATATAGCCTACTGGTTTAGACAGAGGATTAAACGAATCTGTTTTGTATTGTCATGTAGAAAATATATTTACAAGAAAACTGTTTTCTGTATCAAATTAGAAAGATCTAATTTTGTTTTTAAGTGCGTAGAAAATACTCATGAAGATTACAATCTAGACTTCTAGGTTATACAAATATGCGTAGAAATTACTTAAGTAATGGATTTTGGATTTT